GGTGGGTGGGTGGTTGGGGGGGGGCAGAGAAGAGGGATCCTGTTTCTAACTATAAGAAATTTTTCATCTCCTTTCATATCTATCTATCTGACAGACAGATCTACACAAGGAAAGGAGATGAAAAATGTCCTACAATTAGAAACAAGACCCCTCCCCCCACCCCAAACATATATTAATAACCTGCTAGTCTATCTTTAGGGCTAGATGCAGACATTCAAAAAGCCTGAGGTGGAATCGATCTAAGTTACGTGATTCTCTTTAAGTGGTGTAGTTTAGATTGGTAGCGAAGAAAACCACGTTCATCCTTTGATGAGGGGGGAGGGAAGAAAAAGGCACATCTTAGACCTGGTTCTGACATTTTTAAACCAGTCTGTGCACCAAACTCCTGTTCTGTTACAGGTATAGACCCATTTTTTGTGCCAAACTTATCTTCTGTTCTATAGACTGGTTTCTGATCACTTGTACTGGTAAAAATGTAATGCCTGTACCTGGCCTATGAAAATGTAAAGGCCTAAATATAATAAGTTTGGTCAGCTACTTAACTCCAGGTCTAAGGCTGGAAGTGAAGCTACCACAGGGGATTTATACACATACCTGTCTGCTCTGATGTGCCAGAAACCCAGCGTGTCAGAGCAGACTTGATTAATCAAGTCTGCAAAGCACGTAAGCTGATGCGCCCAGCTCTATGGCACCTGCATTTGTATAAATGGCAAAACGCGCATCAGTGCACAGAAAATGGCAACAGTGTGCTTTTGAACTAAAACACCTTTGATGTGTTTTTGTTCAAAAGCGTGCCACCACCATTTTTTTTACCACTGACGCACATTTTGCCGTTTATACAAATGGATGCACTGTAGTGCCTTTAAAAAGCGCCTGGCGCTGCAGTGCACCCCTGTGTACAAATGCCCTTAAAACAGTATTTCTGCTGAGTTGGGTGGAAAATGTGTACTGTCACCACTAGGCCAAAATTAGACAGTTGCCTTCCTTACCCTGACTCATGCTACATACTACTACTGCATTGTTTTCACCTGCTGTAAAATCAATGCACCTTTCATAGTCTCAGTATTAAATTACAGTCCTTCTCTGCATGGCTTACTCTCCAGGGCCAAGAGTATAGACAAATCACATTGTCTCTGTGGATAAATAACAGTCTGAAACCTTTTCATCTGCTCTCTGAACCTCTGAAAAATAAATGGATTTTACCCCCTTCAATCTTAAAAACCAACAAAAAGCGTTGTAAACATCCCTTGGGGCACTTTTAATTCATTGCCTCGTTTATCTGTGTTAAGTAATATTAGGCAGCTACAAAATAGCTGAGGCAATTACTCAAAGATGGCAGATGCGTCCAAAGACAGTTCTGCATAGGAATATATGAAGGTCTCTTTTCACCCCCTGCACACATCAGTGCCCTCTTCCCACTCTAACAGAGGATGCTCATTATTTTGACCAGGTTGGCAGAAAGGGAGCTTTCTTTTTCAGAGAATCCAGCAGAGGGCAATGGCATGGCAGATAGCCGTCTCTTGGCCACAACAATGTTGTTTCAAGCTTCTCCATTCAGAAAGCAATGATCCACAACTTTCCAAGTCTCCTGTATAGCATATCACCAGCTCCAGTCTTGTAATTTGAAACCTTGCTTTTGTGGGCTCTTGCATTCTACCCTGAATGACTTTTCTGCGGGGAGACAGAAATGAGGATGGAGCGAACAAGGTTCGACTTTGGTTGGAACACGGTGTCCAATATCAACGCACCCCATCTCAAAAACTGCAGACAGCTGAGAGAAGGGTGACAAGAATGACTAGACACATTCCAAAAATTTCACAGGAAGAAAGATAAAAAAAGACGGAGATTGTTTACCTTAGGAAAAAGAGTGAAGGAATTAATTTTTACAAGAAAATACTGAAGCCAAAAATGCAACCAAGCTTCAAAGAAGGACAGAATGAATCAAAACTCGTGGCAGAGACAATATCGTTTTTTAGCCCAACTAGGTATTTGCAAAAAAAAGGTCTCTATTTGCAGGCTTCTGGGCACAGGCACCCTTCTTCAGGCAAAAGAGATTGCAAAGATTGTAAAAGTTATCCTAGCTAGAAATGCAAATTCATATTTCACAATTTTTGCAATCTCCTATGCATGAACAAGGGTGCCTGTGCCCAGAAGCTTGCAAATAAAGACCTTTCTTTGCAAATACCTAGTTGGGCTAAAAAATGATATAGTCTCTGCCATGAATTTTGATTCCTTTTGCCTCTGGCCCAATACAGCTACAACTTGGATACCTAAAGAAGGACAGAGCATTTATCGGGCTGCTACGACAATCCAGAGTTGTTAATCCATTTGTTATTGCAAATGAAAATTCTGAAAAGGTCATTAAGCACCTGCTTTAGAGTTTAAGATCACCTTTTAAATATTACATGGAGATATT